AAAATAAAAATTTTTAATTAAAAATATTAAAATCTTATAATAAATACAAAAGTATTTAATATCATAAAAATAATGAAGTTGGACGTGATTGACACATGGTGCTGACACCAAAATTACGTGTCGACACAACAACCGCGGCGGATTTCCACCACTTTTTAGCAATTTCTTCAATAGTAAAAATGTAAAATAGCAGAGCTGATCCTCCATTTTTTAAAAATGAGCAGTTTGATCCCATAACTTAAGATTCATTTATTCAGGTCCCATAAAGGTACCTTTCTTCTTGCAATTCAGTCCCTCAACTTTAGAAAGATATTCAATTAATTCCAAAAACTCTTATTATTATGCATTCAAAAAACTAAAATGTCATATTAAAAGACTTGTAAACAAAAATGTATATAATTTAGACTTATCATTTGTTTTATGCAATACCTACAAAGTTTATTTCATTCTATTTCAAATTAACTTGATGAATATGATGCAAGAGACTAATAAATGAAAATGGTGCAAAAAAGAAAAATATCCAAAATTAGATTTGCAAAACTTAAAAAATAAAAGAGGTTTATATAACTTTTATATTTCATACCAAATAAATATAAACGTTCATACAGATTTTGATAAGATTATATAACCTTAATAGACAACTAAATATCTACTAAAACTCCACACAAAAGTTAGTTGCATCATACATGGCTTTTAAATTTGAAAGGAAAATTTTATTGAACTTGCTTTTAAACCCCAAAAATGCTTAAAGGAAAATTTTTACTCCAATAAAAATGTTAAATTTATGTAAGAGAGAGAGAGAGAGGGAAAAAAAAAAAAACTTCTAACTCTCAAAAACTAAGCTCCATGGCAGGCCTGCACTATGCAGTAGTGGGCGGGCCATTTCGTTATTTTGCGGTGGTTTAATTGGACCAAGAACAGGTTTTAACTTTTATGTTTTAGGCTGACAAACAAAAGAATTACAGGACAGGACAGGGACGGGAAGTCGAGACTCCCCGTTCCCGCCTCGTTAACTTCTTCTTCTCCCTCCTGTTTTCTACAGTATAGAAAACAGAAAAGGGTCGAGAAGTAGCTTCCTTGCATGTACCTTGAAGTGAAGTGGGTCTTGCTTAAGTGCGGTATTTTTCTTCTCTACCTAAACTGCAAAACTCTAATTTTTACCGAATACCTTTTCTGGATTTCGTTCATGCATGGTTTTCAGACAATGCTTGATTCTTCCAGCAGAAGAATGGGATTATGATGAAGTCAATGCATTTTTATTCTAATTTGGTAAAGTTCTACTCACAAGTGTAACGGGATAAGTATTCATTGGATTTTCTCGAGAAATAAAATAACGTTTTTCTTTTTATGAGTTTTTGATTGCTATATTTTAGGCTATGTAATTGTATTCAATTCTTAATTTGGGAATTTCACTGCAGTGGTGTTTATAATTTAAACATTTAGTGCTTCGTTTTCCAACGTAAGAAGGGGGTTTATGAAGAAATCAAAGTAATTCCTTTTCCTGGAAAATGCTTCGCTACAAGATTGAGATAGATTGAAGGGAAATTTCTAGCTGCAATGACTTGACTGCTTAAATTGACTTAGAATTATGAGTTTAAAGGGCTGAATTCAATGGATATTCTGAGGGAAACAAAGCGCTTGCTTTTGGTTGGCAGTGGGCAAGGGACTAGCATATTTCCATCAAGGATGCAGGAGATTTGAGGAAAATGTGGTCCTGGTCTACTACAACTTGCAAGGGTGA